TGACATACTGAGGAACACCAGTGCCCTGGATCATTGTATCCAAATCAAAGGTGAGTTACTATTTACTATAAGGTTCTATTTGCCTCTCATTCACCATTATTCCTAGGGTTTAGCCCTTCAGAACCCCAAACCAAAATGGTGTAGGTTCTCTAGTTCTATCACCCTTACTGGGTTTAAGAGGCTAGACACTGTCCCCCTAGAACACTGCTGGACTGACAAAAGGACTTTTAAGAAAGAATGGCAAAAAAGGGACCTCTATAAAAGCAACAACACTGGACACAATGGTCAAAAGCAACATTTTTAGGACTGTGGAAACCAACTACAGGGTTGCAACAATCCAAAGAGCATTTACTCAGGAAGACCAGGTAATCCTTGGTGAGAACAGAAAGCTCTGTAGGGTTTTAACTTGTCCCCTGGCCTTCCCCTTTCTTCAGCTCTACAGTTTTGACACCTGCAGTCTTGCCACCAGGGTAACTGTGAAAATCATCCAGCAATGAGTGGATGGGAGAAGTTGTTCAAGATGTTTGAAGAAATCTCTCCAGACCCTACCTGATCATTAAGCTAACTAGTAAGGGACTTCAGTGGCTGCACATAGTTCAGTTTACAGAGATTACAGAGACCAAGAACAATCCACAACAGCAAGCAATCAATCATGCCCATGTAAGGGATCTCCAATAAACCTTTGGACACCTAAGGTCCAGGTAAGCAACCCTGGTGGCAATTCTCCTTGTGTCTTACCATACATTGGTGAGAGGAAACTAATGTGTCCTGACACCACAGGGAGAGAACCATGAAGTTCCTTCCATGTGCGTTACTTCTCCTGGACTCTTCCTATATACCTCTTCCCTTAGTTGACTTTAATGTGTATCCTTTTCCTATAATGAACCATGACCATGAGTATAACAACTTTCAGTGAGATCTAGAAATCCTTTCAGTGAATTATCAAAACTGAGCAGGGAACAATGTGAATTTGTAATTGGTGTCAGAAGTGAGAGAAATCCTGTTCTCCTTAACTTTACTGTTGGTCACTCAATTCCTACAACAACAATGAGATCTCTGAGATAAATACTTGTTAGAAAGGAACATAAAGTTAAGGAAATCAAAAACTAGAATGAAAAAACAATATAAAAACAGGAGATAAAAAATAAAAATTAGGACACTTTAATTTAGAAGATAAGAAAAACCAGATGAGAGGAAATCAAAGAAATAAATAGGAAATAATTTCATGAAACTATAAGCTTACTTTCAAGATTGAAAGGATTCAACAAATACTCAGTAAAACAAATGAAAAAACAACCATATCAAGGTATATCATGATATTTCAGAATGCCAGAAGTAAAAATAAGAGGGGAAAGGTCACATACAAAGAATAAGGAATAAATTGAAGACATAATAGCTAGGTGTGATGGCACATACCTGTAATCCCAGTGACTCTGGAGGCTGAGGCAGAAGAATGGCAAGTTTGAGGCTGATTTGGGCAACTTAGCAAGACCCTAAGCAAGTCAATGAGACTCTGCCTCTAAATAAATAAATAAATAAATAAATAAATAAATGGTCTGGGGCTAGGGCTGAGGCTCAGTGGTGGAGTACCTGACTGGCAAGTGTGAGTCACTGGGTTCAATTCTCAGCACCACAAATAAATAAATAAAATAAAGGTCTATCAACAACTAAAAAAAAAATTAAAGAAATAAAATAAAAAGTGGGCTGGGCTTTAGCTCAGTAATAGACTGCTTGCCTTGCATGCATGAGGAACTGGGTTCTGTTCTCAGCACTGCATATAAATAAATAAAGGTCCATTGACAACCAAAAAAAATTTTTAAATCAAAAAATAAAGAAAGAGGGGCTGGGATTGTGGCTCAGCGGTAAAGCGCTGGTCTAGCACATGCGAGATCCTGGGTTCGATCCTTAGTACCATATAAAAATAAGTAAATAAAATAAAGGTATTGTTTCCAACCACTTCCAAAAAATAAAAAATGTTTAGGAAAAAAAAAGAAAGAGGAAAAAGACTTATTAACAGTAGAATCTAGAAAATGATGAAGCAATGTCTTAAAAATTCTAAAGAAATTAATTGCCAAACCCATAAATCTACATATTAATTGTCAATCAAGTATGTGGGTAAAATAAAAATATTTTTAGGCATCTAACTCTCAAAATGTTATGAGTAAGTTACTGGAAGAGTCATTCAAAAACAATAAAATAAACAATGAAATAAGCCAAGAAAGATAAAGATATCTGGCCAGGCACAGTGGCACATGCTTGTATCCCAGCTATTCAGGAGGCTGAGTCAGGAGGATCTCAAGTTTGAGGACAGCCTAAGCAACTTGGTGAGACCCTGTCTCAAAAATAAATAAATAAATACATACATAAGGTTGGGGATATACTTCAGTGGTAAAACACCCTGAGTTCAATCTCCACAAGGAAAAAAAAGACATTGAACACAAAGAGAGACAAAAGTAAGTCCCTAGATGGTGACAAGAACTCAAAAGGCCAATAAATAAACATGGAGTCAAGTACCTCCTATCTTGCTATAACAAAATGAAGGATTCTAGGAAGAAGCTCTCCATGAAAACAAGGGTATTAGATAGAGTATCAGGTGTGTTTAGAGTTAACAGGAAAAGTTTTAAATTGAGGAAAGAATAAATAATAAACATGAAGAAATTTGAAAAAGAAAAACAGGCAATCACTAATTCTAACAAAAACTCAAAATAAAAGAAAGGAATCATAGTCAAAATATATTATGTGATGGCTGTAATAATATCATGTACACTAAAAAACTACTTAACCAGGCTTGGTAATATAAGTAGATTGGGAAAGTTGAGGTAGAAGAAGGGAGCCATGTGCCAGTGCTGTAAGATCCCATTTTCTGTCGCAGAAAAACAATAGCTAATGTCTCAAACAGAAAAAAAAAATATACTGTTTAGGAGACTGGAGATACAAGCTAGATAAAAAATAACTAAGAAAGGTGAAAGTTGTTGCCAAGGGGTAGCAAGTGCCAATCATAATGGTGATGAAAATATGTAACAAGAGAACTACTTAAGAGGTGTTAGAACTTCTGGTGGCTACCATCGCTCTTAGGGGAAGACAAAACTGGGGAGTCTGCAGGTGGTCAGAACCTTAAAATCTAGGAGTACATTTGTTTTGAGGCAGCTCAGCTGAGTAATCAGGAGAAACTCTGGGAGACACAGGATCAAAATAGTTTCAATATAAAGATCTCTTCTGCTAGATACAGAAAAGCAGGAAAATGGCAAAAGTAGACAAAAAACTAAGATGATGGTAAGGACTAGAGTCCAATGAAACATTATGATTCAGAGAATCCTGATATGACTATCTTTATTCTAGATTTAGAATAAACACTGATTAATTTCCTCTTTGACTTGGTTCAATGGGGTTTAATAAGTATTTCTTAAAGTTTATAATTCAAAAAAAGAAACAAAAATTAAAATAGTTATTTGACTTAGAACAGAGCTGTGTCACTAGAAATTCAATGTAATTCCCCTAGAAGAGTATCAGTTATATGCAAGGCCCTGCAAAGGATAGAAAAGTAAAATATTATGGCAGATTGTTCTTCAGAAATAGTCACAGCAGTATCTCTAGTTGCACACAATCTTCCAGAACCTTGCCTTCCCTCAAGTAAATGGTGGAATCTCTTTTCTACCCTTGAACCTGGGCAGGACTTTGTAACTAACTCAGTGTGTAGAACCCAGCAAAAGTGCCGTGGTACTGCCACAGTTGAGGCAATAAAAAGCAGCATGACCCCTACCTGGTTCTCTCCATCTCATGAAATGTCAATGCTTTGAATCCACCTACCATACTGAACAGGAAGGCAAATGGCCACATGGAAAGACCATATCACAAGACTCACATGGGAAAAAAAAATGGAGTCCAGTGTTCCTGACCATGAATCTCATACATCCTTGTGGTATGGCAAGAAGTTTTAAGGTAACTTGTTACCTTGTTATATGCCACAAAGTTCTAAGGTAATGTGTTACACAGCCATCAATAGCCAAATAATTCTTAATAAAAAAATTTAAGAGAGGTAAGTAAGCACACAAATAACTAAAATAAGTTAGCAGGATATGATAACTACTACACAAAATATAAACTAAGGGTCTTGGGAGAGAAATATAAATCATTCTTGCTAAAAGATAAGAGCAGAGAGGGAGTGAGGGAAAATGGGAAAGGTTTGACAGGTAATCTTTGAGCGAGGTTCTCCAAGACAGAACTTTGAAGGAAAACAATAACAAGAAAAAGAAAGGTATAGTAGAACATGGTGACAAAGTAGCTTATTATATGGACCTTAGAGATAAAAATTCATCATCTAACATGTCAACAGTATCAAAATATTTACGGGACACTGTAGGAAACATTCTAGAAAGAGACAAATTGGAATTTGAGAAACTAACATCAATCACATGAAATAGTTAAACCTCTTGCTGTTTAACCTGTATGCAAAGGGCTAGGACCAACCCTAAGATTGAAAGGCACTTATCAGCGCTTCCTTTGATGTACAGGCCAAGACAAAAATCAGTACCTTGCTTGCTCACTGTCCCAGACTCAATATCAGCTTAATGACAGCAATTCTCCATGGTTAGCATTCTAGGAGTTAGAGTTCTAGGAGTAACATATAAGAAAGCTTTTGTCTTAAACCAAAATGAAAGAATCAGCACCTAATGATAGTCATAAAAAGCTGAGTAATTCATAAGCTGCTTTAATTGCTGAAATTTACCCCCAATTTCCCTGATAAGGGCATGAAAATTATGTCTGCAGGCATCAGGCTGACAACTAGGGAAATACTTATTACTTACCCAACCAAATTGAAGTTTTTGGCCCTTTGAGCTGAAAGGAAGAACTGTGAGCCGCTTGCTCCATTAACAAACAATGGTTCTTTTAGAAACTCACCTTTGGTGTGGGATCTCTCCCTCTATATCAGACCTCCTGTTCAAGAGTTCAGAGAGGTAGTCCTTAAAACCCAGAAACTTTAGGATTTCTGTTCTCCTCACCTCATAAAACTTCTTCAATGAGCCCACCAGGCACAGCTTCAGGCTGTCCACAATCTCCTGATGAGGCATCTGGAATACCACTCGAGAATACCACTTAGTGAGGGTGCTGGGTGGGTGGGTGTGCAGAGAGAGGGAGAGACAGAGAGAGGAGACAGTTAACAGACACTCACATAGGAAGGCATGGTCTGCATGTCACACACAGGTTTCTCTCTGAATTAAATCAACAAAATATCTAGTAAATGTATTTATGTCATTGAGAACATGGAGGATATGGGAAAATACATTTAAGCCCCATATAACATCAAAAATATAAAATTCTGACTATTTGCTACAAAACTGCTTCCAAGAGGAAAAAAAATAACCAACTACCTTGTAGTCATCATAAATAAACAGTGACACAACATACAATAAATTCTGTGTAGCAGCTCAAGAGAACTGGTTGAGATGTATTTGTTCTGATATAGGAAAATATCCAAAATATACATTTGAAGTGAAAAAAACACACTGAGAAATAATATGCACAGTAATATCCTATTTGTACAAATTACAGACATATGTGTATATATCATATATATAAACAATCACATGCCACATAATATTATTTCAGTCAAAGACAAATTGCATATATGACAGTGGGCCTTTAAAATGACACTGCCTAGTGATGATGTGGACAACTTAATTTGTGTAAGTACACTCTATGATGTTCACACAAACCAATATGACTGTATGTGTGTGTGTGGGTATACACACACACACACATATGTGTGTATATCACATACATGTTAATGTATGTACAGAAGAGAATCTGAAAGCATGTATACATCAAACCGTGGTGGTGGCTGGTAAAAAAACAATGAGGAAGTGTCACATTCTCAATTTCTGCAGATACTGGGAATAAGCATATAAACAAGAACCACCTCATTTCTTGGGGGAGCCAACAAGACAAGGCACAGCCTGCACGCTCACAGGAGGCTGGGCTGCAGTGGGCAGCAAGCCTGGTAAAGAGGCTGCATAAACAAATGCCATAGAAGACAGAGGAGGGAGGAGGTTAGAACTATTCATATTATAAATACACGGGACTCCAAAACATATGCTGGATTTACAACATCAGGCATCAAAATGAGATAACCAAATACAACAGAACCATTAGTACTTACAGATTGATGCTTGCAACGAAGCCAACCACAGAGCGCATGCCTCTGCTGGGGTCATGGTAAACATCCATCCCAATCACCATTAATTGTTTCTAATTTAGAAAACAAAAACAAAAAGAAAACCCAAATTCCAAGCAATCCATTGCTCCATCTTTAATTATTATCTGAACCCCAAAGAAACCTCTCTCTAGGTTTACTAATTAAAACAAATTCTGGGAAAGAAAGATAAAGACTTCCATCGATTTAACATGTTCTTGGGCTTTGCAGTAGAAACTGCTCAATTCTTTCTTTATAATAGACAAAAAGCCTCAGACTAGCAAAGGAGTGCAGCTATATTCTGGTGAACCATATTTAAGGACACTAAAAAGTGAATTTCATATAATTTTCGAGTATCATAAAATATTTATATTTTTTTCAGCATTTAAAAAATGTAAAAACCATTCTTAGCTCATGGACTGGTCAAAACAGACAGTGAACCATTTAGACTCCTGGTAGCACTGAGGGCAGAAAAGACAACCAGAGGAGAGCACTAGGAGAAGAGCTGGAGAGCACTCTTTGGAGAGTTGAACTGAGGGAAGACACCTCAGCAGCACTCACCAGAGGAATATCCACTCCCCACAGCTCGCCTCCCAATTTACAGTTAATCTGAAGTAAAATTTTCTGAGCCACACTGCGAAGCCTGGTGGGTTGACCAATGGTTCGGACATTGATGACCTATAGTGATAACAGATATGGGAAAGGCAGGACATTATCAAACTCTCAGAAATATGAATCATTTCCAAGTAAACACAGTTGTTCCTTTGTTCCAGAACCCCGAGAGTGCCAAACTCCACAACGCACAAGCCCATTATATGCAATGGCACAGGATGTGTACCTAACCTGCACACATCCTCCCATGTACTGTAAATCACCTCTACATGACTTACAATAATACAGTGTAATTGCCATATAAATACAGTATAATTGTCATGTGAACAGTTGTTTCAGTTTATTGTTTAGGGAATAAGCACAAGGAAAAAATTATACATTTTTGGTACAGACACAACTTTCCTAAGTATTTTCAATCCATGGTGGGTTGAAATCCACTGATGCAGAGCCCACAGATATAGAGGACTGACTACACTACACTTAAGGAATTTGAGATAGCACACACACTATGTTTGGGTCTAATAATTCTAATTCTGGTATCTCTAGGCAAGTGTGTACATACATGAATATACACACATAACACAACAAAAAAAAACCTCAACAAATGAAAACTTTTGGGCTGGGGATGTGGCTCAAGCGGTAGTGCGCTTGCCTGGCATGCACAGGGCACTGGGTTCAATCCTCAACACCACATAAAAATAAAAAATAAAGATATTGTGTTCACCTAAAACTAAAAAATAAATATTAAAAAAAATGAAAACTTTCAAGAGCACCTGGTGCAGAGTGAAACTTTTTTGGGGTGGGTAGGAGTTTACTGAGGGTTGAACCCAGAGGTGTTTAACCACTGAGATATATCCCTGGTCCTTTATTTTTTATTTTATTTCATTGCTGAGGTTGGTCTTGAACTTGTGATCCTCATGTCTCAGCCTCCAGAGCTGCTCGGATTACGGGTATGCACCACCATGCCGGCTCATGGTAAAACCTTTTTAAAACCCCACTCCCCACCAAGGAGAAACAGCCTTCTCCTCTCAAAGTGAAGCCTCCACTCTTAGAACTGATCAGGAAAAAAGAGAACTGAGCAGGAAGGTGTCCTTTTGAAACTACCTGCTCCTTGCCAGGTTACTCTCAACAGGGGACTCTTTTGGCCCAAGGCTCCAAGTAATGGCTTCCAATAGTTTTTATGGTCTTTTTGAACACATGCACTCATCTTCACAAACCTCAGAGGAGGCTGGGGCAGCTGCCTTGCCTCTTCTCCACTCTACTTACCTGTGAGGGCACTGGGGATTGCACACAGCACAGCTTCTTGATGGCCCCATAGAGATCATCACGTGTGCCCGTAATGATGCAAACAACCATTTGTATCTTCCCCTTGAAAAGATAAAGCATAAAGGATCAGGTTCCCAAACTCTCTAGGGACTTTCATAGGACTGAGTTTGCAAAGTCATAGGACCTTTAGGATGGACAAAGAACTAAAGGACAGAAAAAGGCTCTTGAATCTGAATTAACATTCATTTGGCTCAGGACTGCTCTTCATGGATGTGTAATGTTACTATTTACTATCTAGAGCTGGTCCTGATCACCAAAGATTTATTTACGAGGAGACTTTAGACCCTGGAAAAGGACCAGGTTTGAAAATATGCAAGGGTTCTATTACTTGCTGCTTTCAATTCCCTGTAATGTGGTTGACCACTCTCTGAGGAAATGTGAAATGCAATACTATAAGAAAGGTTCAGAGTCAAATGCAGAAGTAATGATGTTATTACCAAGTCCATAGTAGCTACTCTTCACTCTCTGGTTAGGGAGAGAGAGATAATGCCGATAGCATCCCTCCTGTCAGTATCTTCTATCCCTCACTGCTTTAGAGAGCCAAAGTTGAGAACAGGATCTTCTAAAGTATACAGCACTCAAGAGAAACAAGGTTGCCAATGCCCTATGTCAGACACTGCTATACATCCAAAGCAGTGAAACATTGCTCCTGATCAAGACCACTATCTGAGTGTGGTGGTGCATGCCTGTAATCCAAGCAACTCAGAAGGCGGAGGCAGGATAATTGCAATTTACTGAGACCAGCCTCAGCAACTTAGTGAGACCCTGTTTCAAAATAAAATGTTAAAAAAAGGACTGGGAATATATCTTAAGTACAGTGTCCCTGGGTTCAATCCCTTGTACAAAACAACAACAACAACATTATCTATCTATCTATCTATCTATCTATCTATCTATCTATCTATCTATCTATCTCTATCTCTCGTCTCTCTCTCTCTCTCCTGTTAGGACAGAGAACAATGTAAACTTAGATTGCACACTGGGAGCCAATGGGCTGGACACAGCAAACAGATGTGTTTGTTTAGTATCTATTGTGATTTACAAGTTTTTTTTTCTTGATTTAAATACAGGGAGGTATATCTATATGCAAATCCTGAATTCTAACTTATACTGAAAAATGAATAATGAATCAATTTGGCAATGGTGAGCTTGTGTCTCTGGTCATAGGGATCACCCTCTTTAGTTACCACAGGTACCTCCTAGCCCTCTTCACTCACTGATGTTATTTATTATGCGGTCCCTGCACACATCTGATTTTGTGATCTCTCACAAAGAGAACAATAAAACTGAATGCCCCAAATATGAGAAAGAGACAGAGTACATGAGGTACATGTGGTGAGATTATGAATGGTACTCATATCACACTACATGAAAACTATTGGCTATGTGCTCTCACACAGAAACACAAGAAGTTCTGAAATAGGGAGTCGTGTACTAAACTGGGCTAGTCCTTTGAAAGCAGGGCAGAACTTATCACTAACCATGCTGGAGGGAGGCCATGGCAGAATATGACAAACATGGGAAGCTGGGAGGAAATTATGAAGGGAACACCCAAGATAGGACGTGAAAGCTGGGTGCCCTACCACACGCCTGTTAGTCCCAGCTACTTGGGAGGCTGATGTGGGAGGATAATTCGAGCCAAGGAATTTGAGGCCAACCTGGGAAACAGTGAAATCCTATCTCAAAATCAGAGAGAGAGAGAGAGAGAGAGAGAGAGAGAGAGAGAGAGATCATGAGACTATGATCTATGAATGACACACCAAGAGAAGTGGGTCACAACAAGAAAACTAGGATGTCAAATTAATCAAATTCTAGGACTGTTCTCATCAGAATAATTCAATTCGCCAGTCTTCAATTCAAGGGCAAATTACTTCCAAAAATCTTTCTTCTGCCTTTGTCCTCTCCCTAGTCTTCTTCCTGTATTTTGTTTACAAACAGATTAAGAGCAGGAAGATCTGGACAGCTGAATTGTGAGTGCTATGACCTATTCAACTCCAGGGTTCCAGATCAGTTATGAGGACCCAGTCAATGGGCCCTCAGCCAAGTTCATCACCAGAGCAATTCAAGTCTTGAGCCAGACCAGACAGTGACAGCTCAGTACTGAATAGTGAAAGATGGCACCTGGCCCAAGTAGTTGTTTTCTGAGCACAACATGTTCTATAGATAATGAACTGAAGTCAAGTCAGCTATTCTCCTAGCCAAGTACGTGAGAAAAAGAACAGCAGAATGAGTGAGGGTGCCAACACAAAATGAGAGAAACAAAAATAACCAAAGGGCATTGAGAATACTTCCTCAGCTCAATACTTCATGTGCAACTCAGAGGTTCGGTGACATCATCAATAGCAAACTGTAATCAAGCATTGACAATTGAGTAATCAAGTATTTTAAAACAGAGATCCTATACATTTACTCAAATTAAGTTAATTTATTACCTCAACTCCCAGCATGGACTGAATGGTTCTGATATAGGTCTCTATTCGATCATCCTTCAGTTCGACCCAGGCCGGTGGGCTCATGCGCATACCAATGGGGCCAGCTATTTTCTCTAACATGTTAACCAGTTCTCTGGCCTGATCAATTGCTCTCTTTGGGTAAAAGAGTGCCCAGAAATGCATGGGGATCTAGGAACAACCACAAGCTGTTTTCAGTATTTCTTACAATTTAAAACATACCAAACTCACACTCAGGAGATTTTATTATAGAGAATAAATTACTTTCACTTACCCTGCTTTAAGTCCGGTCTTATCTAATTCCTACTAGCCACATGAATGTATAAGTAAACTCTGACATATTCTCACAGTGGAATACTATTCAAAAGATGTATACAACCACAATATAGATGAAATTTATGAATACAAGACTGAAAAATAGCCAGATATAAAAGAACATACATTCCATGATTCCATGTATATATGAAGTACAGAAAAACCCAAATGAATTGTACTTATACTGTGACTATATCAGGACAGTAGTTATTCTGAATGTGTGGGGAGGGTTCAAGGGTAGACTAACTAGGAGCATGGAGGGATGCCTGGAAAGTTCTGTTTCTTAACCCCTGGTGCTGATTACACAAGTTTAATTTAATTTGTGAAAATTCATCAAGCTATATACTTATAAGTGTGCTGCTTCTTTAAATACATTTCAATTAAAATCTCAAAAATTTTTAAATATAAATATTTTATACATGGCTACAAAGACCAGGCTGGTCAAAATACTTAGAAATAATTATAGGGCTGGGGATGTGGCTCAAGCGGTAGCGCGCTTGCCTGGCATGCATGCGGCCCGGGTTCGATCCTCAGCACCACATACCAACAAAGATGTTGTGTCCGCCGAGAACTAAAAAATAAATATTAAAAATTCTCTCTCTCTCTCTCTCTCTCTCTCTCTCTCTCTCTCTCTCTCTCTCTCTCTCTCTCTCCTCTCTCACTCTCTCTAAATTAAAAAAAAAAGAAATAATTATATACCACTTTGTTATTTGATTCAAATAGCTAATGTGCCAGTTGCCTTGGTGGGGTACTGTTTTGACTTCTTTCAAGGATAAAAACACCTCCTGCCCTCAGTGAAAAAGAGGGAGAAAGGAGAAAGAAAGAAGGAAGAAAGGAGGAGAGTGGGCCATGAGCTGGCATAAGATGAATCACTATGGCAACAATTTCCTTCTCTATTTCCCATAACAACTCCTTCTCTGCTTTGTTTGAAGGACCCTTGTTTAATAGGGAATTTAGAATGGAATTCAGTGGTACTTTCTCTCATTTCTGTCTCCAAATTTCAGTATTCTGGGGATAATGGTTTTCTCTTTATCCCTTCAAAAATCACTTACAGTTAAGATGGAAAAGTCTCTGGTTACTTCCTTAATCCAGTTTAGGTCCTGAGATGTGATAAATGAAGTATTTCTTAAGTTAATTCTTTCCATTGGTAGAACACGTCCTTCAATCTAAACAGAATATAAAGTATTATGACTTTATTAAGCATTCATCTATGAACACTACATGGGAAAACACTGATTCTGATGACTCTGAGGCCTAGTCATCTCTACGTCATAGATTTGCCCCATTACAACTTTTGAGAATAGCAGAAAAAAAAAAAAGCAGGAAAAAAAAAGAGAGAATAGCAGAAAAATGAAACTTCTATCAGCAAGATCCATGTCAATCGAAATCTGGACAAATGTGGGTAAAATGCTTATAGGTACTATTCTTTCATGAAAAGGGTTGGAAAACATTATCTCCTTAGAACCAGTGATAGAGGCATAAAATATAAAGTATTTTATGGGAAACTTAAAAAGAGAAAATTAAAGGCAAAATTTCTTAATAAGATAAAAAGAGGCAACACCCTCACCCTATTTAATTAATTTTTTTCAGGTTTGGGGATGCTGCTTCAGATTTGCCATGCTAGGAAAATGCTCTGCCACTGAATTACATCCTTAGTCCCTATTTAATTTTTTTAACTCAACCATTATCCTCATTTTACAGATATGGAAACAAAGAGATGCTAAGCAACTTGATCAAGACAACCAAGATGACAGGGATTAGAGCAACTCAGGCAAACCCAGATGGAAAAGGCCACCAGATAATTCCAGTACACAAGCTGGAGACCTTTTAGGTCTACAGAAGGAATAACAGTAGCATATTCAAGAAAACACAAATTAATTAATTCAGAAAAAACAACTTGGGGAATTAAAAAAGGAAACAGAAAGACATACAGAACTTTAATAATAATTTGGGTTGAAAAACTAAATTGAAGTAAGATGTCAGTGAATACTCATTCCTCTTGATGGCTATCTGACCAGAAATTATTAGCTTAGATCCCTTGAAAATACAGAGGGAAAAAAAATCTGTAAATGATACTAGCATAATTTAAGGAAATTTAAGTACCATCTAATGAAAAAAAAAAAGGTATAAGAATAAAGCAAAAACTCCACAATGAAGTCAAACGAGGAGGCTGTTAGCTGGCCTCACACAGCTCTAGAACCTCGGCTGATTCTGTTCCTGCACCTTCACATCTTCTGGTTTACCTTGTGCACATCCTTTTGTAGACAGAGGCCCCAACGTGTCAGTTCGTTGTTGGCCGTCTCATTCTTTGAAATTCTCTGTAGTAAGCATTCTAAAGCATTATGGTGCTGTTTGGGGCTCAGGTTGATCTGCTGGGTCAAATCCTAAATAGAAGTAAAATGGAGATAATAAATTAAAGTATTGGGCTGGGGGTGTGGCTCAGAGGTAGCGCATTTGCCTAACATGTACAAGGCCCTGGGTTCAATCCCCAGCACTGCCACACACACACAAAAAATGTAAATATTAATTTATCTTATATGAAGTTAGATATACAAACCCAAATGTGTCTGAAATATTTCCATAAACCTCTTTAGGTTTGGGGATGCTGTTTCAGATTTGCCACACTAGGAAAATGCTTTACCACTGAATTACATCCTTAGTCCCTATTTAATTTTTTTAACTCAGCAGAAATTTTCAAATATCATGGAGGACTTTTGTAAATCTTTCTCAGAAACGTGAAAAAGGTATACGTTAAAACTTGAATAATAAAAGAATTTTAAAGGTTACTGACTTTTTCTTATGAGATCTAAATCTTTTAGCTTCCTCAAAGCTTGTTCTAAATTTAGAAATTCCAAACAGAGTCTATGAAAAAAGACTCAAGCAAAAAGGGCTTGAGTACACCTATTTAAAATTTGAGAAAAGTCAGGGGAAAAAACATATGCCAGCGTCTAGCCATACACAACAAAAGAGCAAACCACATTCAGTCTTACACTTTGTCACACTATACTAGCCATTTGATGTCAGCACGAGGCACTTGTTGCCCAGAACTTGCCACAGTGTTGACCCATATGGATGCCTGCTAAATACTTTTATTGAGTAATATCTAGCAAGTGTATATGAAGATTCTGAATCATGTGAGTTCTTTATTTGTTCTTTTTGGACTAATGAGTTGTACAGCTGCTGTGCAGAACAACAGCTATGGGGCTATCTAGATAGCTCTGTGATCATAAAGTCATTAGGTAACTAGCAGTTGTAAAGAAAGGGCCTTGACCTACATAATCATTGAAGAAGGTAACAGAGAAGAAAGAAATCTTCCACAGGAATATTCAGCTTCACTCCAAGATCTTTAGGATACTAATAAAAATTTGACTTGGCATTTAAGTCCAGGACAGGCAAGGAAAGCAAGACAGCAGAGTAGCTCAAGCATGGACCCTAGAGTGGCAGGCAGCGGATGGAAGCTCAGCCACATACTGCCTGGGAGGGGCACTGTCCCTACCTCTGCTTCTCAGCTAGTTCTGGCTAGCTCACAGTCCCAGCACCTCACAGCCCTGTGAGACAAATGTCTATATTCATCTTCTCACTGACTTTTTGCTTGTCTCCATACCTTCAAACAATCGGAAGGCATGCTATTATCTTTTAGTTCTCTCCAGAGCCTCATGTGCAGTCACATCACCCATCATCCATATCTTCAGGATGGAGACAGGGCTGTTTAACTTTGAAATTCAGTCCCTCTGCTGACCTAATTACCTCAAAAGGAAGCTGTGACATGCTTTTCCACATCAGTGGGGGAAGAGTCACAGATCCTGTTTCTGACAGAGGAGTTTGAAAGAAAGGGCTTGCCCAGGTGACAACACAAGCCACAGTGAGAGCCAGAATCTGGTCCAGTTCTAAGTCAAACTGCTAGCTCAGGTGACCACTCAACACAGGAGGAGTTTTTCCCTGGAAACAGTAGATGCCAACCTTCATGGCTCTGAAGTCCTTCTTCATCTTCTCTGGGATCCCAGTCATGAAGGAAAGCTCGGGCAACAGGAGGATTTCGCCTTTTAGCAGCTTTGGAGAGAGAACAGAGAGGGAGGGCAGCAGTGAAGGAGGCTGGCGACACCCTGGCCCAAGGAAGCATGGCCAGGCCACAGCTTACACTGAGGAGCACAATCATGTCACCGGTTGTCCCCTCAGTCACAATACAAACAGCCTGCTATAGAGGGTAAAAGGAAAAAATAATGAAACTGTCAAAAAAAGAGGGAAACCTAGAAAAACAAAACATACTTTTCTGCCTGGCCTCAAAACAATGGGAAGACAACCCATCAAGCTGTGTGCCTCTCTTTCCTTTCATCCTGATCCTCCTATTTAAGGCAGAGAGTCAGGTGACAGGGCACTCTCCTCCCCCCAGGGCCCTACCCCCCTTAAACATACTTTCCCTCCTGGATCCAGAGGTTTTAATGTCTAACAGGACATCCGCCTTACCGCTTTTATCTAAATTGTTTATGTGGATATTTAGCTCCTCCTTGTGGGGACTTTAAGAGCAAATCCTACCAGTGTGATGCAGCAACTCTTGCCAGATGAGACCAAAAACCTTGCCCAGCTTCCCCACCACACAGTAACCACAGCTCCACAGCTCCCTTGAGGCTTGGGGTATGATACAAGCAGCCACCTTGCCCTTGAAGTGTAAGTTAGGCAATACACTCACCGTCCCGTGGTTATTCTGTCTCTCGCTGGGCCTGTGAATCAGCAGCGGTTGGTCTTCTTCCTTAATTGTGATTCCATAGTTTTTGCTAGAGCAGGGACAAGGCAGAAAAATTTTCAGGAGTGACATCGATATTCTTACAGCAACACACACTGAGTCTCTGTCTCTTACCAGGATCGAGGCTTATAATTCACATAAAACCCTTGTGTCAAGAATCCATTGAAAAAGGATAATGGACAAAGTAGGCTTGAGTCACAATGCAATTAAAGAGGAGAACTAAGGCTAATGTCCAAGAAAGAAATATGTTAACAACTTCCTCAGGCTAATGGGCTCAGGCAACTTTTTTTAGGTGAAAAGTTAGTTGAATAATTAAGGACTGGAATTTAATGTCTCCAACCAGGCTAAAATTCTAATAAAACCAGGTAAGGAAATACAATTAATTTATGTAGTAATTTCCCAAAGTATTAAAAGAATGGAAACTGTCAGGACAGCACATTCAGGTCAACCCCATAAACAAGCTCACTGGATCTTAGGTATGCTACCAATCCCATTTTTTTTTCCATTTCAGAGCAGGTTTTTATTTTTATTTTTATTTGTTTTAATTAGTTATACATGACAGCAGAATACATTTAGTTTCATTGTACATAAATGGGGTACAACTTTTCATTTCTCTGGTTTTACATGATGTAGAGTTGTACCATTTGTGCAATCATACTTGTACCTAGGGTACTGATGTCCTTCTCATTCTACCATCTTTCCTACTCCCATCCCCATTCTCCTTCCTCCCCTTTGCCCAATTCATAGTTCCTCCATTCATTCCATGCCCTTTCCCCCATTATGGATCAGCATCCACTTATCAAAGAGAATATTCAACCTTTGGTTTTTTGCCAAATTCATTATTTTAATAATGAAGTTGAATGTTATTATGGAACTCAATATCCTCTAAACCCCACCCCACCCTTGGACCAAATCCAATCTCTTCTTTCTACCTGTAGTATTCCAGGAATGTGATTTCCTTCCCATCAGACATTGTGAAGCTATCTTTTGGAGTCTTATTCCAATCTACATCATCAATACGATAGGTCCGATTGTTGTATCGGGTGATAACGATATTGCCAACCAGAAGCTTACTGCACTCGTCTTGAAAGTTTTCCTTGCTCTGCTGATACATGGCATGCCTTTGGAAAGAGGTAAGGGACTTTCGGATCACGTTTGCACAGACAGGGTAATATGAAAGGCACAGAGTACACAAGTAAGTAATTTAGGGACCTAGTGATCTCATTATAGCTCTATGACACCAGAGGGCCCCAGTTGTGTCTTTCAAGAGAGGGACTCTTGCCTTTCTCCTTTTTAATATTAACACACACATACACACACACACACACACACACACACACCCCAAAAAAAAAAGATAATGAAAAGATAAAAATCATATTAAAAGCAACAACAAATTAAAATTCACTGTATTCTGTAACATAAGGTACTTATATCACAAAACAATTATTTTGCATTATCACTAGGATAAAGTACGCAAACAGGACAAGAAAATCATTCCTTAAGCCACACATGCCTTTCCTAGTTGAAGAAAGAAATTATAATACAAAGTACTCATCACAAGGCAAGCATTGATACTGGCATTAAAGATCCAGAGGTAAGTCAGATACAGTGGCACACACCTATGATCCCAGCAGCTCAGGAAGCTAAGGCAGGAGGATCCCGAGTTCAGAGCCAGCCTCAGCAATTTTGCCTTAGTTCCAAGGCACTAAGGAACTTAGGGAGACCCTGTCTCAAAATAGCAAGGGCTGGAGATGTGGTTAAGTGCCCCTGGGTTCAATCCCCTGTACAAAAAAACAAAAACAAAACAAAACAAAACAAAAAAACAGTGATGAGAAGACCTTAGATAGACAAATGTCCTCTTGAGTGACCCATATAGCAAGACTATGACCAAGGCAGCACAGGAAACTCACAGATGCCACATGTAAAGGCACTTGGGGAAGTTGAGCAACATTTACAGAAGGAGCTACTGAGAGGAGAAAAGTGCCACACAAATGGCTGGGACAGAGATATCAGCAACTCTCCAGGCAGAGGAAGGGTGGCAGACAATCAGGTTTGGGGATGGGGTGGAAGTGGGACTTTACCCTGTGGCTAGTGTCACTCATGATATATTCTTCACGAACTATAGTCTCTGAGAGGTTGATTGGGGGTGGGGGCGGTGTCCACAATCAGAAAGTTGAGGCCTCCTGCATCTTATAACGCCTTTTACAGATGCACAGCGTCCATTACCACATCAGGACTTGCAGAAACACACTGAGTTTATTTTCCTCCAATTTACTGAACCACAGATTCCTCCCCAACCTTTTAATTTTCACCTCAGAATATTTACTACTATTCTGGGTAATGAGTATTCTACAGAACCTGCCTTAAGAAAGCCTGCAGTAAATGAAAAACCTCAGAGATTTCAACACCAACTCCAGACTCGGGAGCCAACTGTACAGATTCAAAGCTCGGCTCTGCTACTTACTAGCTGTTAAGAATTTTTTTTTTTTTTTTTTTTTTGGTACCAGGGATTGAATTCAGGGACACTTAACAACTGAGCCACATCCCCAGTCCTTTTTTGTATTTTATATAGAGACAAAGTTTCGCTAAATTGCTGAAGGCCTTGCTAAACTGCTGAGACTGTCTTTGAACTTGCAATCCTCCTGTCTCAGACTCCCAAACCACCGGGATTACAGGCATGCGGCACAACACCCAGCTTAGTTTGTGAGACTTTGAACAAGTTATTTAATCTCTTTATGCCTCAGTTTCCTCCTGTGGCATCAGTACAAGCACCTAACTCATGCTCTTGAGAGAACAAAATGACTCTATAAGTATAAAACACTCAGATCTGTGCCTATCAAAATAATAAAACTGAATGTTTGCAAACATTATCATTGCTATGAGTACCGTTAGTGCTTAATACACATCAGATACAGTATGTGTGTGCTCAATGTTTTAAATGAATGGATTATTAGAAAGAGTTAACAAGGCCCACCAAAATGTACGGCCTTTTTATCTCAGTTTGAATACACAGACTGGTAAAGACAGTTCAGAACAGACATGTAATTAGGAAAGTCAGAAGCAACTACTATTATAGAGGTCACATTTAAACAATTTTCAAGTTATAATTTATTCTCATAGCCCTGTGATAATTTTCATTTTCTCTCACCAAATCCCTTTCCCCTGACTATAGAAAATGGATGCTAAATTTGGAAGACTTCAAGAAAATGCTAAAAATGAATTGAAGATTACAGAAAATAAGAAATATAGGCCCATATCTTGTGATTCCAATATCAAATATTAGAGAATAAAAAACCACTGACTTTGCACCTATCTTACTTTTCTTTTCTTTTTTTTTTAATATTTTATTTTATTTTTTTTTAGTTTCCGGCAGACACATCTTTGTATGTGGTGCTGAGAATCGAACCCAGGCCGCACGCATGCCAGGCGAGCACGCTACCGCTTGAGCCACATCCCCAGCCCCTTACTTTTAATTCTTAAAAAAAAAAAAAATTAACTATTTTTTTTTTGGCAAAATGTTATTTGCTTAAATATTTTCATTCATTTACACACACACACACACACACACACACACACACGTTTTAAAGTAAGATAAATATTTAAAACAGACATACTTGGGAATTACTGCATAATAGGCACAGTTTCTATTTAAGATGATGAAAAAGTCCTAGAGATACAGAGTGAGGATAGTGGTCCAGCATTATAAATGCACTTAATGCCACTAAGTTATCTCTACTAAAGTAGAGAAGTGCTTCTGACCTTGCACTTCTATTTTTTGTTTATTTGTTTTTGTTTTGGTGCTGGGGATTGAACCCCAGACCTTATGCATGCCAGGCAAGCACCCTACCATTGAGCCACACCCTCAGCCCTAAGTTATCATTTTGAAATGGTTGAAATGGTGATTTTTGTGCTAAAATAGTAAATGTTATATATATAACATAGAATTTAAAGCAATTTTAAAACATATAGTAGGGTTAGGGGTGTGGCCCAGTGGTATAGCACTTGCCTAGCATGCATGAGGCTCTGGGGTTGAACCCCAGCATCCACTCCCCAGGCCAAAAAAGAAAAAAAAATCACAGCAATTTTATTTTGGTTTGTTTTTTTTAACCTCTTATGATCCTCCCCCACCTTAATTTTTTTTCTTTCATTCTTTTTTTTTTTTTTGGTACTGGAGATTGAATATAGGGTGCTGAACCTCTAAGCCACATCCTCAGCCCTTTTTATATTTTTTGAGACAGGGTCTTGCTAAGTTGCTTAGGCTTTGCTAAATTTCTGAGATTGGTCCTGAACTTGCCATCATCCTGCCTCAGCCTCCCAAATTGCTGGGATTATAGGTGTGCACTACCACCTCAACAATTTTAAAATGTTTAAAAACAGGTATCATTGACAAAAACTAATTTTTTCAAAAATGATCAAATGACATAGTATGTGTAACTTGTTAAAAACGCTTTCTAGGTCATGCACTATGATTTATTTTTCCTGCCTACAGTTGATCTGGGCACAGTGGTGAACACCTATAATCCCAGCAACTGGGGAAGCTGAAGCAGGAGAATTGCCATGTTTGAGGCCACTGCAGACAAGTTAGTGAGACCACATGTCAAAATAAAATAAAAAGAAGGGCTGGGGATGAAACTCAGAGATAGAATGTTTTTAATCCATTCCCCAGTACCAGAAAAAACAACAACAGAAAAAAACCATGAGGGGTTGGGATTGTGGCTCAGCAGTAGAGTGCTTGCCTGGCACATGCAAGGCCCTAGGTTCAATTCTCAGCACACATAAAAATAAAATAAAGATATTGTGTCCAACTACAACAAAAAAATGATATTTATTAAAGAACAGACATCTAAGTTGAAAAAAATTAATTAGAGGGACAGGTATTCAAACACACATCATACACAGAGACAGGTGGTAAAGCTAACTACTCTCTAAAAATGATATTTTAGAGATTTTATTTCAGAACCTTTTATGAATTTTGGCTTCCTGTTTATACCATGTTGATCAACAGTACATATGGTTTCATGTTTATTTTTGTTCTGAAGTACTGGGGAGTGAACCCAGAGCCTCATGCATGCTAGGCAAGCATTCTACCACTAAGCTATACCCTCAAGCCCGGTATTCACTTTTTCCCCCTGGACCTAATGAACAAGGCCACTGTTCATTACATTTTTTATTTTTTCTCGTTAGAGATACATGAGTATATTTAAACATATCATTTATACATGGAGTATAACTTTTCTAGTTAGGATTCCATTCCCCTTTTCTCTCTCTCTCTCTCTCATTTTTTTTTTTTTTTTTTTTTTTAGCATGCATGAAGCCCTGGGTTCAATGCTCAGCAACAACAAAAAATTCAGGAGTTCTAGCCAATGCAGTATTCAGGGGGAAATTATAGTTTTAAATTACCTAAGAACCTACCTCAGACATTTATGACAAAAGTGTCAAGGTAAATTAGTAAGGATACTCAAGTTGGAAGTACATTAGACCAGAACACAAACTGCTAACATTTGGTCAAATTCATGAGAGCAGTCCAATCTTGTCAAAATTTGCAAAAGGTGTTTATTCAGTCCATATTCCGTGGTCAATGACAGTTGAGTTACTGATCTCACAGCCCCTTCCTATCTGAGGCTGGACTCTGAGATAGAGTTCTCAAATTCCTGGATGACCTTAGTACTTTTCTTTTTTCAGGGGAGAGGGAGTACTAGGGATTGAACTCAGGGACTCAAGGGCACTCAACCACTGAGCCATGTCCCCAGCCCTATTTTATATTTTATTTAGAGACAAGGTCTCACCAAGTTGCTTAGCACCTTACTGATGCTGAGGCTGGCTTTGAATCCGTGATCTTCCAGAGCCTCTGGGATTACAGGCATATGCCACTATGCCTATGCTTTTCTTTCTTGTTCAGCATGAGTTTGCCTAAGTCAAAGTCTGGACCTCAACCTGGAAAAAGGTCTGCTTCTTATATCAACGTATACTACAACCCTAACTCTTGCACTCTCCTTTGTACTTATAAAAAACATTGTGACTTAAAATTACAATGACCACAGTAAAACATATTGGCATGTACCTGTACTTAGCAATTGGGAGCTGAAACAAGAAGATCTTTTTTTTTAATATTTATTTTTTA